AGAAAATATTCCGAAAAAAGCAAAACATCGAACCTGCCAAGGGATGGAACCCCTGACATCCCATCTACGAAGCAACTATTCACTACACCATAGACCACTTGTCCCAGTCTGCACTCGAACTTAACTTGAGTACGTATAGGATGATCGGCGAATGCTACGCTAGACCCCCCTGACTCCCTCTAGAGAATCGTTCGGCAAATTCTGAAAGCAGATTTGAGTTCAGCGTCCCAAGACCTACACGTCAATATGCATCCCATCTTGAATGGCCATGGCGACCTGTTGACCTTCCCTGGTTAGATGATACATTCCGAGCAAGAGTTTTTTTCTACTACCCTCTCTCCTGCACATGGCCCCTACCCTTTCCCCTGTACGAAGAGGAAAAAAACTGTGTTTTTTACCTGAGATGAATGCTCCACAATCATATGCACATTGAGATTCTGCTCATAGTTGAAGGAGATATCGCACTGGGTACAGCTGAAACGTCACGGTAAAAAACATAAATAAACAGTTAATATGCAATACATTCACTAGACTGCTAAATTTCGGAACCTTTCTTATAACTGTTTTCGATGGAAATGAGCTCGGCGGATTTGAATTTAATCCATTTCTGCGTTCCTGTTTTCTTCGCGAGGTATGAGCTGAGCATGAGGCATTGAGCATATCCAGTGGAAAATCTTTGTTCAAAGGAGCCCTCCATTCTCTTTCCCCCTTGGTACAATCCTTCCATTCGGACTCTCTACATCGGTAGGACTCCCTTCAAGACCTATCTGCTATCTTACCAAAATCTAATTTCTTGCTGCTGAGCGAAGTGGGGAACGCGCAGCACGTAGGCTGCGTTCATATTATACTCTGCGCCAGCGCATGACACCGTCTCCGCAGGTATACCTCGCTTAAGTTTAAAGTGCCGCAAAGACGCTGCTGTGCGCGTTGGAAATCGATACCCATACTCCTTTAGTCCCTCCAGACGCTGGTCTGCTAGGTCGACATCTTTACTTCCCTAGTCGCTGGCGCTGGCGTACGCTGACGCAAAGGATGAACGCAGCCTCACTTCCGACTCACGGCGAGGACGTCGAAATGGGCGTTGCAAGCAAGGTACAGCATTCGCACTAGGGGCCGTATGCTATACTTCCCCTCGAGGGGACATATCCCCAGCAAACCTCCGCTCTCTGCCGTTATCTCTATCGATGCCCCTCGTCTCTCTGCATCTGCCTCTCTGCATCTTTGCTCCCCCACTTTCGCGAAACGTCCCCCAACGACATGTGCTGGGGACAGGGGAGAATATTGATTATACTCTGCGCTGTACTATATTCGCACAGAGCGTGCGCCAGAAGAGTATGGATGCAGAGCGGCGAGAGCCAGAGAGACGAGG